AGCAATTTAATTTTTACTGCCTTTTTGCACAACCTGTTTGTGTGTACAAGGATATTTTTTCCATGTTATATTTAAAAATAAATACAGAACAAAATTAAAAGTGGATCCTAATTTATGGCTAAAACTAAGTTAAAACCAGACATAAAGAAATTGATGTGTCTTAAAGAGGCTCAAATTTCACACTAAATTTTAGAATTAAGGTAATAAAACTTAAGGCTAATCTTTAGAATACGGTAACAGGTAGTTTGGCGACATTTTGATAAGGCAATAAAGGTTACTAGCTAGGACTTTAGCAATAATTTGAGATTATTGCTAAAGTCTCCCACAGATTATTTTGTCTAATCATAGATTATTTTGTCTCAGAGAAATGAGAGATCATGAGACATGTAATGTGACATTTTCCGGAAAATTCTGATCGTGATTTTAGCTAATAAGCACTTAGAAACAATTTCGCTGCTAAAGTGCAGAATCGCTCACTTATTTGTTTGGCACTTTTTACAAGAATAAGAAGGATTGGATTTTTGTCAATTTTCTTTGGCTTTTTAAGTGAAAATAGGTCGATGTGTATGTAGATAAAGTCAAGAGTGTGCGCAATGCCATTTTTGTGCAATTCTGGGATGTTTTCTTACATGAAAATAGGTCGACGTGTACAGGATACCGTGTATGTGCAATTCTTAAAACGCAGAAGCAGTTTTGATTCTGCACTTTCCCCAATTTCGCACCTATCTTCGTCATGATTAAGCATTTTTGTTCCATAAAAGTTCTAGTATAAACGTAATTTGGCTAGCAGATTGCTGGAAAAAATGTTGAGTAAAAAAAAAAAAAAAAGCCTTTACTTCATGAAAACAAAATGGCGTCCAAAACAAAACTAGCAGGTTGCTGTAGCAGGGTTGGTTGCCAAATTTTCGCAAAAAAATCGCCAAGTTACCATAATGTAAAGATTCACGAAACTTAAATTTTGATAATTAAAATGGTAACCAATTTTTAATCTATTATTTTTTGCATGTGCATATTTAATACAAGTAGGCAACAGGTTGTGCAAATGGCAAAATGCGTATATATATATTCTGAATAGAATATATTCTATTCAGAAATTGTAAAATGTAGTGGTGGCACTACAGTTTTTCAATTTTTGTTTAGATGGTAAAAGTGTTAGTCAAAAGGTTGAGAACTGCTGCTCTAGATCTTCCACAAACAGGGGTTGTATTAAAAACCTCAAGGACTACCCTCCATGCATTTATTCTCAGGAGGTGACTTGTCCATCTCATTCTACTTAATTTTATGGATTTAATAATATCCTCATCTTTATAAATTTTGTAGAGTTCAAAATTATACCATTTATGCCATATATATTCTCCAAAACAGCACCAAAATAGTTCCTTTCAAAGATCGCCAAGGCTCTTTCTTCCCTTATAATCAGAGTCCACCTCTCTGAAGCACAGGTAAAGACTGATTTTATTAATACCTTGGAAAATAGAATTTTTATCTTTCTCTTTGTGAGATGGAATTTTATAGCTTCTTTTAGTTTAAAGTAAGTAATGATTTTAGTTTAAAGTAATGATTTACTAAATATGTTAGAACTACTTTAAGTAAGTTTTAGTCTAAAAATTTAGTGGCAAGATATTTGTATTACAAACAAAATTTAAAAAAAAAAAAAAAAAAAAAAAAAAATCTTCTTGCAGGTACCAAATTTGGATTTCAGATAAAAATAAATATAAGTTCGAATTTTCCCTTTCGAACATTATAATTATTGTTTATGGATATTTCGTAAAATACTTAGTGAGAAAATTTTTTAATTTATTTAAAATCTTTTTTTGTTAATAAAAATTTAATTTTGTTACAAAAGAATTCTGGTTTGTGGGTTATTTTCAGATCATGCATGCCTGCAATTTCAGTTTAGGACCACTATCATACTAGATAGAGTTGGACATGCACAGAAAACTTCCAAGGAGATTAGCAAAAGATCAGAGACAAATAATTATATCAATAAATTTTGATTTAATATGTGGAATCCCAAGCAAAATATAGAAAAAGTTATTTTGCAAGTTTAAAAAGAAATCACTAAATATAACTGCAGCAATACAAATATGAATGTATTATATTAAAGTGATTGTTGTGGATCCCACAAAATTCTAGTTGTGCACATTACATTGAATGTTCACACGTATCCATCAAAAACTTTCAGCAGATATATCACCGAGTAAAAACTGCGGTAAAGTGCAGAATCACCCACTTATTTGTTTGGCCTTTTTACAAGAATAAGAAGAATTGGATTTTTGTCAATTTTCTTTGACTTTTTAAGTGAAAATAGGTCAATGTGTACATGGATAAAGTCAAGGGAGTGCACAATGCCATTTTTGTGCATTTCTGGGATTTTTTTGAAGTGAAAATAATCAATGTGCCCATGGATACCGAGTATGTGCAATTCTTAAAAACGTGCCAGGATTTAAGCCAGCCTTGCCATGTGTCCGTTACCCTCCCGGCCAAACTCCATGATTCAATTCTTGTTCACAAAATATAGTAATCCTATTCCTGCATTATTTCACAGCAACAAAAGTGGCTCTAGTGTAGAATTGGGTGCCCCTTCCATTAGTGACAATTAAATTTCGGAGATGAAACCTCACTTCTGGTTACCATGATAGTTTTAACTTTGTTTTAGCTTCCTGATTTTATTTAAATGAAAATAGATTGATGTGTACATGGACAAATTTAAGTCAGTGCGCAATGCCTAGTTTGTGCAATTCTAAGATGTTTTGGCTGATCTTTGGAATATGGTAACTGGTAGTTTGGCAACATTTTGGAGGCGATAAAGATTACTACCTAGGACTTTGGTAATAATGTGAGAAGCACTCAGTTCCAATTATGCATTATTTTGTGTGAGGGAAATGAGAGATTATGAGATATGTCATGTGACATTAATGGACGAATTACAGTTGTTTAATCGGAAAAGGGGGGGAATCTGGAATTTCGTATTTAGCTATATTCTGTGTTTTGTGTGAAACGTGACATTAATGGACGAATTACAGTTCTTTAATCATTTGGATCCCATTTGGAAAAGCCCTCATGTGTGTAAAGTGAAATCTGATTAATTTTTACTGCATTTATGTGTAATCCAAAAGTGAATTTCTTGAGTGTAGGATTAATTGTGGATAAGTATGAATGTCCAACATAATGAGATTGTGTGAAAGGAAGGATATTACACATAAGTTTGAATGCTGGTACAAGAAATCTGGTGAAAATGGACATTTTGTGAAACGTAATGTAAGGAAGGGTACGTGGTTTGCTGAAAGTCGTTTGAGTTTGGGTGAAATTTTATTAATTTCTTATTAGTGGGTGCATAGACTGCCAGTTGACTACTGATTTAGGATTTAGAAATTAGCAGTAGTACTGCAGCGACGTAATGAAGATTCTGAAGATTAGGTAAGTTAGTATTTTTAATCATTTGAGGATATTATTTTTATGCATTGTTCTAAATGCAAGGAGTAAATAAATTAAAATGGTATTATTTGAAAATTGTTATTAGCAATGATTTAGTTTTAAAGTAATTAGGATTGTAATCTAATTTTTATTAATTTAATGTATGTGCTTATTTTATATTTTTTGTAGTGTTTTTTTAATTTCATTATATTTTAATTTAATGATCGTGATTTTGTGAGTTATATGTTGTAGTATTTTGGAATATGTTTGAGTAGTATACGTTGAGTATTTTCATGCATTTTCGTGAAATTTTTCTAATTTATGAGAAAAAGCAGTGTACATGGATATGGTGAAGAGTGTGCGCATGCCATTTTTTGTGCAATTCTGGATGTTTTTTTAAGTAAAAATAAGTCGATGTGTACATGGTTTACTGATATTTTAATTAAATTATAGTTATTTTGAGAATTTTATGTTTGTAGGAATTTGGTATATGTTTCAGTTTGAAGTAAACGTGTATGGAAATAATTTAATATTTGACACTAAGTATTTGTAACTATTTTTAATGTTTGCGTATGAATTCGTTGCTGAAGTTTATAATATAAAGATAATTTAGAGTAAAGTTTTTGATATTTTATTTATTTCATACTTGGAAATGTTCATCCTTGGAAAGGGTAACGTACTTTTTCACGATCAGGTAATTTCATATATGTGCTTTTTATCGGTTTAAGATTAAGAAATTTTCATGCATTTTCGTGCAAATTTTTCTAATTTATGAGAAAATAGCAGTGTAGATGGATAAAGAGTGTGTGCAATGCCATTTTTGTGCAATTCTGGCTTTTTTTTAAGTAAATAAGTCGACGTGTACATGGTTTATGTGTATGTGTTATTCTGAAAAACGCGCAGGAGTTTTGCGATTGTGCACTTTTTCCCAATTTTGCAGTGAATATTTGTCATGATTACGCATTTTTGTTGATAAATTTCTAGCATAATGTAATTTCGGCTAGTAGATGTTGGAAAAAGTGTTCAGTAAATAAAAGAAACTGAGGGTTGCTGTAGCAGAGTTGGTCGCCAAATTTTCGCCAAGTTACCATAATCCAAAGATCAACCGATGTTTTTTTAAGTGAAAACAGATCGATGTGTACATGGACACAGAGTTTGTGTAATTCTTTGACTTCTTATTTTGATTTTGTATAGCGGCCATCTTGAATTGTGCCTTCCTGGCGCTTATCTTGGTGTCATAAAAGAATCGCCAAAAAAAAAGGGGCACCCAATTGTAAACTTTTACCACAAAAATTAATCGATATCAAAGTATCATCAGTAAAAACAGGAACTAAGTGCCTGATAACAAAAATACACTCATATAATCTATCTTTCATTTGAAATACGATTCCCGAAAATTAGGAATAGTTACTCGCAAAATACATAGAAATCGTTTAAATGACGTATAATTTAAATTCTCAAAATATGGCAATCTCATGTAGCATATTCCGCTTATCGAATAAATATCATTTAAACTAACATGATAAGTATATACATTAATCTTATATATTTACAGCATTATGTTATAAATGTAAACTAATAACCTTTGTTTCAAAATTCTGCACCTCAGCAGCAGTATACAGCGTTTCGCGAACATGGTTAAAACG